GACATTACAATGTACATCAACTCGCCTGGCGGCTCGGTGTCCGCGGGCATGGCCATCCGGGGCTGCCCATAGCGAGGGTTAAGTCGGGCTTGTCCCTCTACAGGAGGAATATTCAAAAATAGTCAAAAAATAGTATGGGGCCGATTTGTTGAATATTTTTTGACTATTTGGGAATATTTTTGGAGCATTTTTCAACTTCCGTCCAAAACCCGCCTGTAAGGGGACATGCCCGACCTAAAGCGAGGGCCACGAGGGGCGTGGCGGCCCGCGCGGGCGACCCGTCCGCGGCGACGCCCCCGACCTGGTGCGCCGCCTCGGCCGCCCCCCCCCCGAAGGGGGTGGCCTCGGGCAGCCAGCTCCTCGCCGGCCTGGCCCCCCCCGCTCCGGCTCCCTGCTCCTCGCCTCCTCCACTCTTTTCCTCGCCTCCTCTTCCCCGCCACGCCGCCTCCCCCTCTCCTCCTCCTCCTCCTCCTCCTCCTCCTCCTCCCTCCTCCTCCTCCTCCTCCTCCTCCTCCTCCTCCTCCTCCCCCGTCGGCCCTCCTCTCCTCCTTCTTCTCTCTCTCTCTCTTTCTCTCTGCCTCTGTTTCGGTCTCTGTCTCTCTCTCTCTCTCTCTTTATGTCTCTCTCTGTCTTTCTCCTTTCTCTGTCCTTTCTCTCTGTCCTTTCTCCCTCTCTCTCTCTCTCTTCTTGCTCTCTCTCTCTCTCGCCATCGTGCCTGGGTTGTGGTATAAAGCCTATTGGCCTCTCGGGGGCCACTTGGAGACAGTTCGAAGCCTCTTAGGGGCCGTTTTGGGACCTCTTGGGGCCTCTTTTGGTCCTCTTGGGGGCCTCTTGGGGCCTCTTGCGGGCCTCTTGGGGGCCTCTTGGGGGCCTCTTGGGGGCATCTTGGGGCTTTTTTGGGCCCTTGTGGGGGCCTGGGTGCCTCTTGGCGCCTCCTGGGGGCCTCTTGGGGCGGAAGGCTCGGATTTTCGGTTCGTGTTCTCTCTCTTGGGCTTCTTCTGGGGCCGTCTTTGGGCCCTCCAGGGCCGTCTTGGGCGCGTCTTGGGCCGTCTTGGGGCGCTCTTAGGCCGTCTTGGGGCCCTCTCGGAGGCCTCTTGGGCCGTCTTGAGGTGGTTTGGGGGCCTCTTGGGCCGTCTTGGATCGTCGGAAAGCCGCACAGGCGAGACCGCCAAAGTCTTTCAAAACTGTGGGACAATCACTGACTTTTGCCTCTTGGAGCTCTCTTGGGAGGCCTCTTGGAGGCCTCTTGTGGCGTCGTGGAGGCCTTTTGGGCCATCTTGAGGCCATCTCGGGCGTCGTGGAGCGATCTTGGGGCGACTTGGGGTCCTCTTTGACCGTGTCGGGAGCCTCTTGGGCTCATTCTGGGATGCTCTCCTGGGCGGTGTAGGCCGACGCGAGCGATTCCGGCCGATTCCAGCAGACCCCAGGCCTGCCCCCTGCCCGGGAAACGGTTGGTCCGGGGCCCTTGAAGACCCACAGTTCTGGCTGCAGCAGCATCACAGCCCTCGCAGTGCTGCGTGAGGCTTGGGGCCCTCCACTTCGTGCCAGAGGCGCTGCGTCTGCGTGTTGGCGTTCTGACGCCCATACCCTCGCCATCGAGGTGGTGATGGGTTGGGGAGGCTATTGGATGCATCCAGGGGAGTGTCCAAGGCGTCGCTGGCAGCCGCACGCATCACGCTCGCCATCAACCGTTTGCAAAAGCCGTCCTCCTCCCTCGTGGAGCGCGACCGCCAGGAGCACCTAGGCAGCATGGCGGCCAAGGCGCGCGCGTGTGCCCAGCACGGCGACTCCCGCGGTGCCTATGCCATCGTCCGCTCGCTCGCCGGGCGCTCCCTCGGGGCCACTACCGCTGTGTACGAGCCAGATGGCAGTCCCACCGAGTCCAAAGAGGCCTTGGAGCTACGATGGCCAAAGAGGCTTGGAGCTACGATGGCCTTGGAGCTGCGATGGAGCTGCAGGTGTGACATCCGCGAGCCGACCCGCCCGCCGTCCGACATTCCGGTCGCGCTCGACCTCGGCCCGGCCGCTCACGAGAAGGCTTTCGCCCATCTCGGGAGGAGCAAGGGGGTCGGCCCCGACCGAATACCAGCAGAGCTCCTTCAGGCCGGCGGCAGCGCTGCTGCAGTTCGGTATTCCGAGGTGTCAGCTCGCGTCGCTGCGAGCGCTTCCTGGCCCGCCCAGTGGCGAGGAGGTCGAATGATCGACCTCTACAGAGGCAAGGGTGACCGAGCAGACTGCGATCAGAGTCGCGGCCTCCTGCTGGCAGACCACGCGTTCAAAGCAGTCACGGGGATCATCAAGACAGCGTGCGACAGGGAGTACGAGGCCAATATGCCGCGCGATCAGCATGGCGCTGTTTCTGGCAGAGGCACTGACTTCGCGTCACATATTATTCACTGGGTGATCCAAGCGGCGGAGCTTTTTCAGTGGTCGATTTGCGTCCTGTTCACTGACCTGGTTAAGGCGTTTGACCGTGCAGTACGTCAGCTCGTGCTTGGTTGGGGCCAGATTCCACCTGCGGAGCGATACCGGCACCTCATCTTCATCGGCGTCAGCGCCAAGTCTGCCCAGTGGATCCACGATTACATCGAGGAGCGTGGCTGCGTCTTGGAGCAGTGGAACGTGGACCCAAAGGCAATCGAATTGGCTGAGTTGCTCCACGGCGGCGCTTGCCTTCAAGTCGGCTCCCACGACAGCCGTTCTCAGCTTTACCGGGGGGCGCCAGGGGTGTAAGCTCGGATCTGTGCTGTTCAACAGCGCGTACGCCGTGGCGCTAGACATGCTTCATTCGGAGCTTCGGGCCGCCAGCATCTCGCTTCGAGTTAGGTCCGGCGGGGCGGCCTTCTGGTGTCAAGGTTGCAGCTCGCCCCCGACCTGGGGCGCGGCTCGCGCCTGCGAGCCCGATGGCAGCGAGGAGTTCGACGACGTCGTCGACGCGACTTTCGTCGATGATGAAGCGATTGCGATCACTGCCGCTACCCCAGACTTGCTCGACATTGCGATTGAGAAGCTACTCGAGATCGTCAGCTGTATCTTCGAGCTCCTGCACATCGAAATCAATTGGGCCGCAGGCAAAACCGAATGTCTGCTCAAGTACCGCGGCCACGGTGCAGTCGCTCATCGCGAACGCCGCCGTTGCACCCAGGATGGTAGACTATACCTGCAAGTGCCGGGAAGTGCGTCCATGGTGCACGTGGTGGACAGCTACAAGCACTTGGGCGTTATCACGGCCATCGGAGGTGACGCATACAAAAAAATGTTCACTGCGTGGGCGCTGCTATGACGGCCTATTCGCCCATCGCTGTGAAGGTGTTTGGGAGCCCCCGGATCTTGAACGCCGTTAAGGTCTCGTTCCTTCGCTCTCTCGTGGAGTCCAGGCTGTTAGTCAACATACATGTGACCGTTGTTTCTAGACGCGCCATGAAGGCTTTAAATTCAACCTACATGCGCGTTGTGCGAAGAATCCTCGGGGAGGTGAGATACCAGCATAGTGATGTTACAGACTTCCAGGCTCGGCTTCAGCTTGGTTTGCCTTCTGTAGATTGCATTGTCTGTCGCGCTCGCCTCCGATACGTAGGGCGCGTGATCAGGAATCAACCTCGATCGGTCCTCGCCCTCCTCTCCCTCCGTAGAGGCGAGAAGTGTCTCCCTTGGGTCACACAATTCCGCGACGATTTAAGCGACCTTGTGAAGTTTAGCCGCGCAGCCGCCCGTCTGCCGAGCTTCGACCTCGATCCATCCGCGTGGCTTGATTTCATGTCCCATGAGTCGGAATGGGCAGCTTCCATCAGGCAAGTCTTCTTTTTCGAGTCTGTCACAGACCGCGTTCGGCAGCCCCCCGACGTGGATGGCCGCCAGCTCGCGCACTCATGTCCCAAGTGCGGCAAAGCCTTCGTCGATGCCAAGGCTTTGGCCCAGCACTGGAGAATCAAACATACTGTTCGCACACATGCTAGATTTCACATCTCATCATCAGTGTGTCCGGTCTGGAGTCTTGACTTCCAGGATCGCCTCCGGCGTCTCGCTCACCTGTCCGATCCTCGCCGGCCGCGATGTTGGTGAACCTTTTTAGACACGAGCCATGCCCGACTTGACGATGCAGAGGTCGATCGGCTCGACGCCATCGACCGAGAGCTTCGTCGTGCTGCTCAGCGGCAGGGTCGGTCCCACCACTTCGCGCGAGTTCCTGCTCGCCGCCGCGATGGCAGGGTGATCGGCCGCACGGCATGAGCCCGTCTGTGAATTCTTCACACTACAGTTCTTGAGTCTGCCCAGGCATCCTTGCCGCAAAAGGTATCCTCTCTTTTTTTGGGGCATCTCTCTCTCTCTAGATGTATACACACATTTCTCTTGTTCTCTCTCTCTCTCTCCCCCCTCTGTCTCTCTCTCTCTCTCTCTCCCCCTCTCCTCAGTCATCCCTTTCCTCTTCATTCATCTTCCTTCTCCCTCATCTTCCTTTTCTCATTCCCAACCCTCCTTGGTTGGGTATTCGTTTTGAATAGAGGGGTGTGCTCGCGTCTCTCCTTCTCCTCCTCCCGCCTCCCGCCTCCTCTCGCCTCCTGCCCTCTCTTCGCCGTCGCTGGGGGGATGCGATCTGCGAAGCTGTCGCCACGTTCGACGGCGGCTGGTGGGTCCTGCGGAGTGAGGCACCGCGCTGATCTGAGGTAGACCTCGCCGTCCCTGGGGGGCTGCGATCTGCGAAGCTGTCGCCACTTTCGAGGGCTGCTGGTGGGTCATGCGGAGTGAGACACCGCGCAGATCTGAGGTAGACCTCGCCGTCCCTGGGGGGCTACGATTTGCGAAGCTGTCGCCACTTTCGAGGGCTGCTGGTGGGTCTTGCGGAGTGAGGCACCGCGCAAATCTGATGCAGACCTCGCCGTCCCTGGGGGTTTGCGATCTGCGAGACTGTCGCCACTTTCGAGGGCTGCTGGTGGGTCCTGCCGAGTGAGGCACCGCGCAAAACAGAGGTAGACCTCGCCGTCCCTGGGGGGCTGCGATCTGCAAGACTGTCGCCACTTTCGAGTGCTGCTGGTGGGTCCTGCGGAGTGAGGCACCGCGCAGATCTGAGGTAAGCACCGCGCAGATCTGAAGTAGACCTCGCCGTCCCTGGGGGGCTGCGATCTGCGAAGCTGTCGCCACTTTCGAGGGCTGCTGGTGGGTCCTGCGGAGTGAGGCACCGCGCAGATCTGAGGTAGACCTCGCCGTCCCTGGGGGGCTGCGATCTGCGAAGCTGTCGCCACTTTCGAGGGCTGCTGGTGGGTCCTGCGGAGTGGGCACCGCGCGGATCAGAGGTAAACCTCGCCGTCCCTGGGGGGCTGCGATCTGCGAAGCTGTCGCCACTTTCGAGGGCTGCTGGTGGGTCCTGCGGTGAGGCACCGCGCCTGACGTCCCTGGGGGGCTGCGATCTGCGAACACTTTCGAGGGCTGCTGGGTCCTGCGGAGTGAGGCACCGCGCGGATGAGCGACCTCGCCGTCCCTGGGGGGCTGCGATCTGCGAAACTGTCGCCACTTTCGAGGGCTGCTGGTGGGTCCTGCGGAGTGAGGCACCGCGCAGATCTGAGGTAGACCTCGCCGTCCCTGGGGGGCTGCGATCTGCGAAGCTGTCGCCACTTTCGAGGGCTGCTGGTGGGTCCTGCGGAGTGAGGCACCGCGCAGATCTGAGGTAGACCTCGCCGTCCCTGGGGGGCTGCGATCTGCGAAGCTGTCGCCACTTTCGAGGGCTGCTGGTGGGTCCTGCCGAGTGGGGCACCGCGCAGATCAGAGGTAGACCTCGCCGTCCCTGGGGGGCTGCGATCTGCGAAGCTGTCGCCACTTTCGAGGGCTGCTGGTGGGTCCTGCGGAGTGCGGCACCGCGCAGATCAGAGGTAAACCTCGCCGTCCCTGGGGGGCTGCGATCTGCGAAGCTGTGACCACTTTCGAGGGCTGCTGGCGGGTCATGCGGAGTGAGGCACCGCGCAGATCTGAGGTAGACCTCGCCGTCCCTGGGGGGCTGCGATCTGCGAAGCTGTCGCCACTTTCGAGGGCTGCTGGTGGGTCCTGCGGAGTGAGGCACTGCGCAGATCTGAAGTAGACCTCGCCGTCCCTGGGGGGCTGCGATCTGCGAAGCTGTCGCCACTTTCGAGGGCTGCTGGTGGGTCATGCGGATTGAGGCACCGCGCAGATCTGAGGTAGACCTCGCCGTCCCTGGGGGGCTGCGATCTGCGAAGCTGTCGCCACTTTCGAGGGCTGCTGGTGGGTCCTGCCGAGTGGGGCACCGCGCAGATCAGAGGTAAACCTCGCCGTCCCTGTCGCCACTTTCGAGGGCTGCCGGTGGGTCCTGCCGAGCGAGGCACTGCGCAGGTCTGAGAGTGCTGGTGGGTCCTGCGGAGTGAGGCACCACGCAGATCTGAGCCGGACCTCGCCATCCCTGGGGGGCCGCGAGCCTCGCGAGTGCCGCTGGCAGAATTGTATGCGCCCACGTCACGTTATCACCACTGCATAACGTGTCCAAGGCTAGTTACTCGTGCCCCGCATTGCGCAGGGGTTGGGTACGTCGCCAGGGTAATTTTCCTTTCCTCCCTCCTCCGAATTCCGTCCTCGTTCCGCCTTCGTGCCTCTGCCGTGAAGATGTCCCTCCTCCTCGCATCACCAAGCGGGTCGCTACGACGGCCCGGGCGTTTCGAAAGAGTCTGATCTTGCATCTGAAGTTACATCAGGTACTGGTTCAGCGCCGCGCACATTCGCTGTGCCAGCTTCCAACAATTAAACGGTTGGATGGCGCATGCTTTGCCCAACATGGTCCTCGCCCCAGCGCTGGGCACACTCGTTTGAGGAGCCAAGATATGAAGGGCGGTTTACGTTCTGTCAGGTTCGTCCAAAAGTAGGTTTCCAGAACGATGCTCACGCCACAACGCCGCGCTCATTGGCCTTTCAGCTAACAGGGCCCTAACATGCTCCACCGATGGAGTGGGGAGGGGGTTCAAGTTTAGGGATACACTTAAGGCCACACATCTTCTGACACGAATGAAACCAGACACCAGGAAGGAGAAGGGTTCTGTTTCAAATCAGGGCTCATTGTTGAGCTTTTCGCCGAAAAGCACGACCGTAAGCTTGATGACGCGCAGCAGCCACACGGATCGAGCGTGGCTATATTTCGTCCAATTTGTAATCTCGTTGTAGTTTTTTTTTGTGGACGTGCTGGATGTCGCCTGGTGGTGCTTGTGCTGGCTAGAGGTCTAAATAAAGGATGGACCATTAAAAAACGGGGCTCTCGCACGAGTGGCAGGCCTGGGGGGGTTGTCATGTCAAGGTTGCGTTCCCGTCGTGAAAAGAGCTGTGTGTTTGGAACTTCTGGGGGAGGGGACTTAGGACGGGAGGGTGTACTGCAGCCAGATGTTACTCTCCTCCTCCTCCTCCTCCTCCTCCTCCTCCTCGTTCTCCTCTCTCTTCCCTCTCCTCTTCCTCCTCCTCGTTCTCCTATGCATTTCTTCCTCTCCCCTTCCGTTCCTCCCCCTCTTCATGCTGGATCCCATCCTTTCACCACCCAGCCTCCGTCTCGAACCTTCGCCTATTAGCAGCCCCGGGCCATCCACGACACAATGCAGTTCATCCCGTGCGACGTTAAGACGGTGTGCTTTGGGCTGGCGGCATCCATGGGCTCCCCGGGCGGACATAGGGAGTGGGCTGGGCTGGAGGCGGGGGGGGGTCTCGCGGCATCAGCTCCAGAGCTGGAAGGATCAGGGGATGGAGAGGAGAGGAGAGGAGAGATGGGAGGACAGGGGGAGGGGAGGAGATGAGTCGGGAGAGAGGAGGGAGGAGACGAGAGTGGACAGGATAGTGGAGAGAGGTAGGCTAGGTGCGCTCGCGCCACATCTGACATTCTACCCCTCCCTCCTATTCCACTCCACCGTCTCGAATCCGTGTCGTTTCTATCTGCTGAGCCGAGTGTCGCATGGGGCCTTGATCCCAGACTTGCCCCTGCAGTGCAAGAGGCCCGACAGGGGGAAGACGGGGCCAGCCAGCGCGCAGAGAGAGATCGGGCGTGCCGCCCGCCCGTGGCGCGGAGAAGAGGCGGGCCTGGCAGAAGAGCACCCTGCAGGGCAAGAGGCACGGGGGAGGAGGAGGAGGAGGAGGAGGAGGAGGAGGAGGAGGAGGAGGAGGAGAAGGACAGGGTGTTGGGGGGGGGGCGGGGCGGACATCAGGAGGGTGGGCGGTAGCTGGAGCGAGGCTTGCAGGTTTACCTCGTCTCGATCCTGTTCTGTGATGCCTCCGTGCTTCAGTGTTCTAGGGTCTCAGCCTCTGTAGCCCACTATGGTGTTGGTGCTGGAGGAGGGAGAAAGAGAGCAGGAATAGGATGAGGACCAGGAGGAGGTGGCGTCGCCCTTCTTGCTGCAACCCTCCTGCCAGATCTGCTTGCGGCTCTTACTGGCTGCCTGACGTCGTATAACCAAACATCGGTGGCATCCAAGGGGGGTTGTGAGGACTAGAGGGGGGGTATCTCCCGACTGTCATGGCTCCCTCTTGCTAAACATATCCGCTGGCCCCACTCATCCGCGCACATGCCTGGGGCCTCGTGCGCACCCCCCTTCTTTCTGGCCCGCCTCTGCGGCGCACCCGAAGAGAACTCTTGCTCGGGTGGGAGGGCTGCGAGGGTCTCAGTCCCAGGCCGAACCGAGCTGCAGCATCGATGAAGAGGAGGAGAAGGAGAAAGAGGAGGAGAAGGAAGAGGATGGTGATGATGAGGAGGCGGAAACAAGAGGTGCGGGATGGGAGGATGGGAGGGGGGAAATGATGATACTGATGATGGTGGGGGGGGGTGATGAATGATGATGACGATGCTGGTATTGGTGGTGTTTGTGATGATGCTGCTGCTGATGATGGCGATGATGATGATGGTGACGACGACGATGACGATGGTGACGACGACGAGGACGATGGGGATGATGATGCTGATGATACTGATGATGATGATGATGATGCTGATGCTGGTGATGGTGATGATGATGCTGATGGTGCTGATGCTGATGCTGACGATGATGGTGCAGATTTTTATCATGACGATGACGACGATGATGCTGATGCTGATGACGACGATGGTGATGACGACGACGATGAGATTATGATGCTTCTGGTGATGTTGATGATGATGGTGATGATTGTGGTGGTTGTGATGCTAATGATGATTCTGTTGATGATGACGATGATGATGCTGCTGATGATGATGAGGATGATGATGCTGATGACAGTGGTGGTGGTGGTGGTGGTGGTGGTGATGATGATGCTGCTGATGCTGACGATGATGATGCTGATGATGATGCTGATGATGATGATGATGCTGATGATGATGATGATGATGATGATGATGATGATGATGATGATGATGATGATGACGTTGATGACGATGATGCTGATGCTGATGATGATGACGAGGAGGAGGAGGAGGAGGAACAGGAACAGGAGGAGAGGTACGGTGTCGTCCTCGTCGTCGTCGTCGTCGCTGCTGCGGTGGAGTCCAGCCCGCGGCTTTAGCCTGGGAGCGGTTCGCCCTATCCTCCTTGGGGGCGGCCAAGGGGTTGATGACTAGGGCGGGGGCTGATATCATGGTCGGAACCATGATATCTCCCCATATTTCATGGCCCCGCGTCTTATTTCAATCCGTTCCCTGGCCCCACTCCCTGGTCCGCGCACAAGCCTCGAGCAATGATTTGCGACCCCCCCCTCTTGGACGCCCCCCTCTTGGACGCCCCCGACCTCTACCTTCTCCTGATCTGGGTTGGAGGATCGAGGATTCTCGAAGACCGAGGTTGGAGGATCGAGGGTCGGGGACTCCTCCCGAGATCTGTTGAACTCTCACTACTGAAGAATGATGACTGTTCAGCCCCCCCCCCTTCGGTGACCATTGTGTTTTTCAATTGAAGTGCTTCCCCCGGGGCTCGCACCTTGTTTTTTTATCAGGGAAAGTCACTCGGCTTAAACTGCGATGTTGGCCCCTGGATTACAACAACAACGGCTCCAGCTTGAGACTTCCTCACAATTTAGCCAGGACCCCTGCTTCCGCCTGAGACTTCCTCGCATTTTACTGAGGAATCGCGCTCTCGCTTGGAACATCCTTACAATTAATTCAGAAATCGCTCTCTCGGCGCTCTGGAGTCGCGCTCTCGCTGGAGACATGCTTGCAATTTACTCAAGAATCGCGCTCTTGCGTTGGAATTTTCCGCAATTTCTCAAGCGCCGCTCTCCAGACACTCAGGCACCCAGCGCTCACGCGTAGGACTCCCTAACAGCTTATTTAGGAATCGGGATCTCGCTGCCCTTCGTGGCCCCGTTGCAGCCCTTCGTGGCCCCCTCGCTACCCTTCGTGGATCCGTTGCAGGCTTTCGTGGCCCCCTCGCTGCCCTTCGTGTCCCCGTTGCAGCCCTTCCTAGCCCCTTCGCTGCCCTTCGTGGCTCCCTTGCAGCCCTTCGTGGTACCCTCGCTGCCCTTCGTGGCCCCGTTGCAGCCCTTCCTGGCCCCCTCGCTGCCCGTCGTGGCCCAGTTGCTGCTCTCAGTGGCCCCGTCCTTACCCTCTGCGGCCCAACATACGTATGCCCTTCGTGGCCCCCGCTTTTTCGCGCCCGTCGTGGCTTCATACGCATACCTTTCGTGGCCCCGCTGTCGCCCTTCGTGGCCCCCTTCCTACCCTTCGTGGCCCCGCTGTCGCTCTCGCCCTCGCTCTCGCTTTCGCTCGTCGTCGTCGTCGTCGGTCCCCTGTCCGTCCCTTTTGGGGTCGGGTTGCCGCCGATCAGCGCTGCCGCCGGCCAGGCCAACCGAACGGTCCGCGGCCGCCCCGCCGCTTGCCGCGGCCTGGCCTGCAGGGCAGAAGTATATACCCCCCATAAAGGGTACGATCGAAGACGAAGAGGGCGGGTATCGAGGGTTTGGGAAATACATGTTGGATGATACTCGATCATATAACAGCGATGAGTCTTAAACTGATTGTAGTTGCAGTCGTAGTTGTAGTGGTAGTTGTTGTTGTTGTTGTTGTTGTTGTTGTTGTTGTCGTTGAACTCTCACTACTGAAGAATAATTATTGTTGATCCCCCCTCCGGTGCGCATGTTTATTTTCCCCACATCCAAAGTGGGGTTCTTGTTTTCTCTGGACACCCCGCGCAGGAACAGGAACACACACACACACCCACTCACACTCACTCACACTCTCTCATCATCAACCTCATCAGCATCATCGATGATGCTCTCTCACATGCTTAGTCACTCACATACTCATCATCATCATCACTCGCACTCTCTCACACGCTCACGATCATCATCATCATCATCATCATCGGCATCGGCATCATCCTCATTCAAACATCATCATCGCCACCACCACTCACAATCAATCATCATCCTCTTCACCACTCATCTTCACCACCACTCATCATCCTCATCCTCATCATCGTTGAGTAAATTGTGAGGAAGTCTCAGGCGGGAGCCCCCTCCCTATGGGGCCCGCAGATCATGTTGGTAATCCGAGCGGGTCATCGGAACCTGTAACTGTCGTCACTTTTGGGCCCAGGCCTGAAATGGAGGAAGTCTCAGGCGGGAGCCTCGTCTGTGAGTGAATTGGGAGGAAGTCTCAGGCGGGAGCTCCCTCCCTATGGGGCCCGCAGATCATGTTGGTAATCCGAGCGGGTCATCGGAACCCTGTAACTGTCGTCACTTTTGGGCTCGTCAAGCCTGAATTTGGAGGAAGTCTCAGGCGGGAGCCTCGTCTGTGAGTGAATTGTGAGGAAGTCTCAGGCGGGAGCCCCCTCCCTATGGGGCCCGCAGATCATGTTGGTAATCCGAGCGGGTCATCGGAACCCTGTAACTGTCGTCACTTTTGGGCTCGTCAAGCCTGAATTTGGAGGAAGTCTCAGGCGGGATCCTCGTCTCTGAGTGAATTGTGAGGAAGTCTAAGGCGGGAGCCCCCTCCCTATGGGGCCCGCAGATCATGTTGGTAATCCGAGCGGGTCATCGGAACCCTGTAACTGTCGTCACTTTTGGGCTCCTCAAGCCTGAATATGGAGGAAGTCTCAGGCGGGAGCCTCGTCTGTGAGTGAACTGCGAGGAAGTCTCAGGCGGGAGCCCCCTCCCTATGGGGCCCGCAGATCATGTTGGTAATCCGAACGGGTCATCCAAAACTTGTAATTGTCGTCAATTTTGGGTTCTCGCGCTGCCAGAACGCAGCTCCCAGGCCACATTTTGGAAGCAACGAGGAAGTTCTTGGGCTCCTCAGGTCGCCGAGGTGCTGCGACAGGGCGCCGAAGGCGCCGACGACGACGGCCAGGCCGAGGCGCGGGCGCGGAGCTTGCTGATGTTCAGGCCCAGCGAAAGGGAGTTCACATGGCAGAGCTCGGGGGCGCACAGCGTGCGCCGCTCGGGGTTCACCCTGACGCACGCGTCCTACCTGACCTCCACGCTGTCGCAGGGCCAGACGCTGCGCAAGGGCGTCACCATCGACTGCGCGAGAGACGAGGACGCTGGCCGCACGGGCATGTCGGACGAGCAGTGGTGGCTGCACCTCTACGTCATGTTCTCCCGCGCCACGTGCATGCGGAACATGCTGATCCTGCGGCCGCCGCCGCGAGAGTTCCTGGAGTGCGGGCCGCCGGCGTCCCTGCGGAAGGCGCTCCTGG